TAGTGATAAGATAAAACAACAGGGAAAAAAGGATATTTTTCTTTGAGCTAATTTTGCTTGACTTACAGGAAGTCATCAAATATCTACCTATATGCATAAATTAAAGTTACCCAAATGGCAGAAAGATCACAGAAACAGAAAAGTTTAAATGTATATGTCAACAAAAAGAAAAAAAGACACAAACACAGAAAGGAGAATGTCATTGGTACACTTAGGGAGTTACATGCTGGGTAATGAATGTAGCTGTAAGTAATCCAGGTGGGCCTGGGTTGTGGTGAACTGTGCTTGTCCTTGGGGAAAGTAGTTTGCACAGACACAGGACCTTCATGTTAACTGAAGTTAAAACTTTTCATGAAAATTCCAATGAACAGGTATCAAGAGCCTGTTTTGTTCAAAATGTTGACAACAAAAATTGTACCAGGTACTTCATACACAGGAATATTTGCTTTTCTGTGTTTGCATGTAAGTAGGACCCAGAAAATTAATTCATCTGGGTTGAAAGTCTACCTCCTTTGTTTGCTTCAAAATGACCAGAAAAGGCTGTAATTTCTTGGTGGTGGAATGAGTGATCACTAATACCATCATTTTCTTTCATCTTTTTAAGAAACTATAACAGTTAAATATTTGGAAATTTAGGAACAGTTCTTAAAAACCTATTTTTCCATGTATGTTCCTACATTCCTATATTGTAATATTAGAAAAGTTCAATATCAGGGAAAAAAGATCTGTTGTGGCTTTTTTTCTGAATATTTAAGAACACTTTCGCTGACACTTAAAGAAATCAAGGAGTGGGTAGAATTGAGAGATTAAACAGAAACCAAACTGTGTTTGCAGATACAAGAGATGATTCATTTGAAGATGACCTTGCAGTCATATGGCAGTCAGAGATGAGGAGAGCACTGTATCATTTGAGAATATCAATATGAATAAAAGTAGTAATAAATCAGTTATAATTTTTCAATGATCTTTAATTCTGAGATTTGTACTTTTTTATTGTAAAAATACTGTACAGAGGGGTTACAATTACATGGGGAGATTTGTACTTTTATTATGACAATTACATGATCATACTGGCTTGTCATATGAACTTTTTAGCTCCTCATAAAATGACAGTTCTAAAAATTAAGTTCTCAGTGTGTTACTTGGCTCAGAAGCTGAACCCCAATATGAATATAGCTTCTATTCTAGTTACAATAACATATACAAGCAGTTGCATCTTGAGAAATGTGTGTGTACAATAGAGTAGGTTTAGGATTGAGGTTTTACTTCTAACTTTGCCTCTTTAACTTAATGCTTTTAGATGTTTTTCTTTTAATTTCTCTAAATTTCAGTATCTTTAGCTTTAAAATAGAGCTATTTAAATTGTTATTGTGCTGCTGTATGTAAAAAGTAGGCATAATTTTGATCATGTTGTTTTCACTAAGTGAATAACTTTTTTCCATTTGTACTTTTTCCTGGAGATTTCTTAGGATGAGATGTGGTTATAGGAAAGGAAGATTAGTAAGTGTCTCAGGGGACAGCACTTCAGTCCATCTTTAGTCATTTTGAAAGAACATACATTGAGTAATAGGTTTAGGCAGACAAAGAACAAAAGGAGAGAGAGATGTATAATTATATAAACAGACCTGGTCAGAGTGTGATGTGATTGATCATTATTTCAGTCCTCTTTTGGAGAGGAAGACTTGTAGACCCTGTCCAGTGATGACAACGATAACAAGGTCTACAAGTCTTCATTGTCTAGTCTGTCCCAAGGAGGCTCCAATGTTCCTTAGGGTTAGTTCAGGTCTCTTGTTATAAAGATGTTACTGATCAGTCCTGTCCTTCCTGGAACTCAAAGTCATTGCCTGCACATTGACTGCAGAGAGAATTCTTTGGAGCAAAGTCATGCACAAAATGGAAGCTGGGATGCCAAGCTTTTCTCTTGCTTTTGGTTAATTCATGGGCTCAAATAAGCAAAAGCACCTTTTCAATACCTATTACAGTAGATCAACAGAAAATAAAAGCCAAACTTCCTTAATATTTGGCTAATGTCTTAATATTTAAATGGGTCTTTGGTTTAAGGTTTGCTTCTCCTCTGGAATTCATATAATCTGCTCACAGTTCTTAAAGTTCTTGGTCATATATCAGCCAACATTGAAGTAAAAAATATTTACTGTAGGTTAAAGACATCTTTTTATGATATAAATAGGCTAGCGTGGAACTAGAAGCCCCAGGCTTCAGCTCTACCTTAGTTACCTTTGGTTTCAACCTCAATTTCCTTACCTTTAAAATGAAGAGCCTTGAACAAGATAAACTTTGAGCTACGCTCCAACCATAGTGCACCATGCCTATACATCTTTTTTATAGGTAGATTGCCTTGCATTGAGTGTTTCCTGTATGGCTAGGCACTGGGGCCACTTCCTGATGGTCCTAAGATCAAAGGTTGCAGCTTACATGCTGAAGGAATTGAAAAAGAACTAAGATGCTTCAGAATAAGAGAACAGGCATTGAAGAGAATATCTGAAAGTAAGACGCTAGCTCTAACCATTTAAAGTCTTTAAAAGTTTATGAGTATTTTTGAAATACTGTCAGAAAATACTCTTTGCAGACCATAATATTGGACTTAGCCAGACACTTCATTTAATTAAAGCTGGCTACTTAGTAAACTCAATCTCTTAGGGTAAGTTTGTCTAACTTACATTTTTACAATCACTTATTGCAGACACATACAGAAGACAAATCTTGATCATTAACTTGATGAAAGAAAAAAGTATTAAAAATCTTTCTAGGAAGATTCTGTATTTTTCCATAGTTAAGTCTAATTCCTTCTGTCTAGCCATATGTTGGGTAGAGGGGCCACTTAGCTGGAAAGTAGCAGGTAAGAATGCATAGGTCGCCCAGGACGGTTGCTTTAGGATAATAGCCATTAGAGAATAGCATTTATTTATTCAGAAATGTTCATTACTAACCAGGCATTGGTGGCTTATACCTGTAATCTTAACTACTCAAGAGGATGAAATCTGAAACTTGAGGGTCAAACCCAACCCAGGCGGACAAATCTGAGAGACAAGAATCTCCAGCTGAGCAGAAAAAAACACACAAAAGGGAAAGTGTGGTTCAAGAGATAGAGCACAGCTTTGAGCAGACAAAAGCTAAGCAAGAGCATGAAGCCCTGAGTTCAGGCTCTAGTACCTATAAAAGAAGAAAAAGAAACAACAATTCATAATTAACCTGGAACAAGTGGCTTATGCCTATAATCCTAACTTATTTGGAGATTGAGAACAAAAGGATCATAATTTAAGGCCAGCCCAGGCAGGAAAATTTTGAGATCCTATCTCAAAAATAACCAGCAAAAACAGGACTGGGAGCGTGGCTCAGTGATGGAGTGACAGCCTAGCAAGTAAAAGACCCTGAGTTTTAACTCTAGTATCACAAAAAAACCCCACTGCTTATTAACCATGTGTCATACATTTTTCTAGGAGCTGCCATCAGATACAGCATATATTTTGTATACAAACATGAAAGTACATAAATAGATATATGAGTAATGCACTGTGAACAGTCATGGAGAGTTTCTTTAAAAAATACACAATACTAACTCAGTTATATTCAAACATATAAATATTACTTTACATCAACATTTGAGTCCTGTGACTGATACATTAAGAAGAGGACCAAAACTAAATAGTGCATCTACATACCAAAAACTACTCCCAAGTACATAAAAATCTACCCAATCATATACCTACTAAGAATGCCCTTAAAGAGAACACAGTTTTCTGATGCATACTCTAGACAGTATCTACAGTTGTGTATTTATACACTTGACACAAATACAAATGTATATACTTTTTGTCTACAAAATATTTACTTGTATACAAAAAGGATACTTGAACCTAGAGAGCAAATAAGCAAGGAAAGACTGGGTTTGTTTCTGCACCAAGTACGTAAAGAAATGAAGGAGAAGAGAAAAATGCAAAGCAAGGAAAAAGGTAGGAAATGAGAGAAAAGTTGATGACCTTAGAAGAAGCCCAGAAAGTCATTTTCTCTGACCTCCTAGCATCCCATCTAGCATTTTTGTAGTGAACTGATAAATCTGTGAAGTAACCGTAACCACTCAGTTCAGAGGAAAGGAAAAAAATAATTTCAATTTGAAAACTATAAAGACATCTACACAAATGGAAAGAAGTAGTAATTATGTGCTCAACAACTGTGATAAAGTCCTTCTAAAATAGAAGAGAAATTGAAATCTCAGGGAATTTTTTCCTTTGTTGGCCATGAACCCATTCCACGAACTACCAGCCTGTCTCATGTCAAACGCTTCCCTTACCGAGGAAGCGGAAGCGGTCGTAGTCTTTCCCACCAGACCATGGGTGAATTATAATTATCCTACCTCTTGTGGGACAGTGAAGCAGCAAACATCTGCTGAACTGAATCAAAGAAGCCACGAGTGAAGCTATACCAAACTGTGAATCATACCTGGACTCAGATTAAAGGGTCTGTGTTGTGTTTACCTTCTCTTTATTTTCTCTGCAACTTAAAATATGGATTTGTTAACTCTGGCTACATGTTCTGAAGGAGGAATATATGGATTTCATTCACTGACTCCTGTTTCAGCATTGAAAAAATGCAGCTTTAAAGTGGATGGACAATAATAGTTAATAGCAGTTTTCCTGTTGGTTTTGCCCCTTCACAGTTTTCTTTTGCTTTAAAAGAACAGGATAAACAAGAAACTTCAGAAGTGCACAGTCCAAGAAACTAAGTTCTTTGGTTTTACTTTCAATAATAAAGGAGTAAAAACTTACATTTTAAACTTTACTTCCAAAAGAAATAAGCCTCATGAAATACTGTAACTTAACGTAATTTTATATATCATGGTATATATGGTCTTACTTAATTGTTCACCTACAGTAAAGAAAGAAAAATGGTACTTCAAAGAAATGGTTCTTTGCAGTATGACCTGTGAGAATATATGTAGTAGTCTCCTTTTTTTAATGTATCTTTTTATTTTTATCTATTAGAGAGCAGAAAGACAGACTCGAATAATGGATTCGGTCCAATATGCAGAATTCTGTGAAAGCCGACAGTTAAGTTTCTGTAAGTAAGAATTTAACTTTCCACAATTATACATATGAGAGACTGTGTGTTACAGATGTACTAAACTATGACAAGTTCTCCATGTCTCAGAAATTGATTTATTTTGTGTGTGTGTGTGTGTGTGTGTGTGTGTGTGTCTGTGTAGTTATAACTACTACAGAAACAACGTATGCATTGTGAGGCAGCCTATGAAAGATTTTACACATTCTACTGAAATTACTAGTATTAACAGATTTAAAGGGTTCTAATAAAACACAGGTAGCTATGTTAATGTTACCTTCAGTCAGTAAAATGCCCTTTTTAAAATATTCTCATTTCAGTTTCTTTTCTACTTTCTTGATCACATTTACATGGTTATTGCTATCTACTTGGTCTACAAATAATGTTTGAAAGACCCCAGTATTAATTATAAATGCCAAATCTCTCTTTGTGCACATTCATGACTTCAAAGAACACATCTTCCATTTTTGTCTTCAGCCTCCTGCTGTGGCATGCATTTTGCATTGGCTAACTTCATTAGTTCATATTCAGAATACTAATAACCTCGTGATAAAACTGAGTACCAGCTTATTAAATGTGCAGAAAGCCCCAGGATAGTGGCTGGATTGTGTAGCAGACCATCCTCATATCAGTAGTTCAGTGGTGAGTAAAGCTCTCTCAGGGTAGAGGTCAAGAAAGTGTGATGAAAAGTCCAGTTAGTAATATGACACAGTTGCACATGGCCCCAGACTGCATGATTGTAGAAACAATGGGGCTCTAAACAAAACCCTATTATGTGGGCAGAGTAACAACATGTTTGACTTGGAAACACAAAATAAGAGCTTCATTTGTAGATGATAAAAAGTGCAAATAGATGACACATTTCAAATGCTGCCCCATGAAAATGTCAGTAATATATGGGAAAGCATGTTCTAGAAGAGGTTTTTTTCCCCCCTAAATAAATATGCTTTCCAATCTGACTAACGATTTGGCATCATACATCTGTAAAGCATTAAGTAAATGACACTTCAGATCATGGCAATTTCAGCAAATGAAAGGTTTCTGAATTATAATTTTTAGGTTTAAAAATGGCATTTGCGTCTTTTATAAGTATAAATCTCCAGTTTATAAAGTAACAGTGCGATCGAGCTATCTTTCAAATCATATTTTAAATTTAATTCACTTTAAAGGAAAAATTTTAGTGTGTTATTACCCAGTAAAGCTAAATCTTTTTTTATTGGTAGTACTAGAATTTGAACTCAGTGCCTTGAACTTGCTGGGCAAGCACTATACTACTTGAGCCATGACCCAGCCCTTGGTTGCTTTAGGTATTTTTGGAATGGTTTTTCAGTTGGGTCCAGCCTTAGACCATGATCCTCCTACTATACGTTTCATGTACTTGGGATTACAGATATACCTCACCACACCCAGGTAGTCGGTTGAGATGGGGGTCTCGCTAACTTTCTGTTTGGGCTAGCATCCAACCATGCTTTTCTTGATCTCTGCCTCCTGAATCTCTACAACACTTTACTTGACTAAAACTAATCATCTTTAATGTCTTCTAATAGCCTTTCTTATGAAAATTAGATTTTATTACTTTTTTTGTTTTTAACACTAAAAACTATAGTAGATTAAAAATCAGGGGCTGGGCTATAGCTCAGTGGCAAAGCACTTGCCTAGCAAGGGCAGTGTCCTGGGTTGAATCCCCAGAACAACAACAGAAAAAAACAAAAACTACACACACACAAGAAAAAAGTCAGTATGTTCTTCTGATAAAATAATTATACTGTAAATGTCATCTTGTTTTCTATAGGAAAAGGGATTTAGTAATTTTAAGCATTTGCTTATGTGTGTATGTCCAGAAGGATTGTATTATGAAGCCTTGCTAGAAGAACCTGGTTGGTGTTACAAAACATACGTTGAGCTTGAGTCTGCTGGCGTCAGATGCTACTTTATATGGGGGGACACAACGGTGAAGACATATGCTTGTCCCTCTATCCTCAGAGCTTACAGCCTAGCGAGAAGCTCCTCATTCTGTTGTGTGTATGGGTAGAGCTGAATACTGACCATCCTTCTCCTCCCCACTTTTCACATAAGTATTTCAGAGTATAATCAGTGGGTATGTGCATCTGTTTCCAGTGACCTGTCAGAGCGGAAAGTGGATAAAGTGCCTTTTATTGATCTTGTCAAATTTCTCCCTGTTGACTATAACTTCACAGGTATTCCACAGATGTTAAACAAGTGTTTGTGAGCTGTTCCAGCTTACCAGTTAGATGGAATGTTGCACGTCAGATATTTGGAAGATTGGTTACCTTGGGGAGAAAGCTTTAAGGGGGATTATCATAATTCTGCCACATTTGACAGCTTTGGATATGTACTTTCATAACAGGACTTCATATTGTCTATGATTTATTTAAAAGAAAACCCTTCTTTATATGGAGTCCATGAAGATTCCATCTGTATGGATCAAAACATCATGCTTTGAGTTACTATTAAATATTCTGTAGACCAGAGAGTCCAGATTAATAAAAAAAAAACCAGTGGATTTTTTTGAAGTATAGATTTGATAACATCTTTGCTATCAATCTTTTTCATCTGGGCACTAGTTAAATGAGTAATGTCTAAGGAAAGCCCTGTATCAAATTAGTAGTGTTGTAGATTAGAGATATTTAATAGAAGATTCCATATGTTGTTTGGTTCCATAGTGATATGGAACTGCTATGTAGGCAGGGGGACTTGATACATGTTCTTCACCCACAAAGAATGTATAATATGGGTCTGAGAAATTAGAAGTACCAACGAAAGATGTCTGATCATTTCAATAGATGGCTAAAGTAGGAGAATAGACCTTTGGCTATGTGGGCAGGTTGCATGTGAATGAAGAAGAGGGATGAGACAGCATTTCATAGGAGAAAAGAAACAGGTTGAGCACTGAGATATACTCAAGGCCAGGTGTTGGGGGTTCCTAGGGAAGTAACGTAAATATAGAGTGGAGTCACTCTGGTTTTGAAGGCTTACGAATCTGGCACACACCTGTACCTAACTACTTGGAATGCAGAAGCAAAAGGATTCAGAGATTGAGGCAAACTTAACCACCCTCTCTTAAAATACAATACACAGAGTAGAGTAGGGACCAAATACCCATGGCTCACCCCTATCATTGGAGCTGTTCAGGAGGCTGAGATCAGAGGATCACAGTTGGAAGCCAGCTTGGACAGAAAATTCCAGGAGACTTCATCTCCATTTAATCAGCAAAAAGATGGCCAGGAGGCATAAATCAAATGATAGGACACTAGCTGTAGCAAGCAAACCAAGCAAGAGCTTGAGGCCCTGAGTTGAAGCCCAGTACTTGCACAAAAGAAAGGGGTGGGGAGAGAACAAGGGGTACAGTTTAAATGGTAAAGGGCTTAGGTTCTGGGTTCAATCCCCATCACCAGAAAGAAAAAATCAAAAAGTGTCTGAACATCTTCACAATTAGAGGAAATATAACTACAGGTTTGAATCAGGCTAATTGTCACTTAATTTCATTAATTCTAAATTCATAGCTCTGAGCCTTTTCTACTAATAAACAGATTTTGAAAAGTAGTAGAAATGCAGTTTCTCTGTGTTCTTCCCCTGATCTCCTTTTGTGTTTCTACAAGAGTAACTTAAAATTATCCTAAGCAAGCAACTTTTAAAAGCAAGCTAAAGTCAATGGTAACATTCTGAAGCAATGTGAGAAGCAGTAAATGTGAGTTTAAATCCCTGTATGCCCCCAACATATTTAATTAATGAATTAATAAATAAAATTTGGGTTTCTTAGGAGTAGAAAATTTAGACAGTAATAAAAGTTCACAGACATTGCATTTATTTATATTATTTTATGCAGTTCTCAGGACAAATTTTTCACTTTATTGTAGTAGTATGAAGATCAAAACCCTTTAAAACCCTTTGTATTACTGAAGGTAATAATAATATTAAAAACAATTGAAAATGAAAATGAGTTTATTTTTTGCTGCTTTTGTTTCCTTTCCTTTTTGTTCTGTGTGTTCATTTATATGTCTTTGGGAGGATATGGGGAGGCACAGGATTGAAGGGACAAAAGGTGAACAAATGCAGCAGTGTAGTCACTGCACACTGTGTGGAAAATGCACTGTGTAACTTGTGGGTGGGATGGGAGGGAAGAACTGCGAGAGAGAGAGGAAAGGGGTGACATTGTCCAAAAAGAAATTTACTCTTTACTGACTTATGTCACTGTAACCCCTCTGTAGACCATCTTTATCATAACAATTAAAAATTTCAAATAGAAGAAAGAGAACTTAAAATACATCACCCTCATAAGTTATATCATTTTCCAAATAACAAGATAAGAACCTGAATCTTAGTCTCCTAAATAAAATTGAAGCCTTTTCATTTTTAGTAGTTTTCTTTAATACTGAAATAAATCTCTATTTTCAAATAAATGAAAGAAAACTTATTTGAATTTCTCCACTTTTTTTAATGACTAGCAAAAAAAGCTTCGAAATTTCGAGACTGGCTGGACTGTGGCAGCATGGAGATAAAGCCCAATGTTATTGCGATGGAAATTTTAGCCTATTTGGCATATGAGACTGTGGCACAGGTGAGAATGCTAAACTATCCATCAAGCTAGTTTCTACTCAGCTCTGTCCACGGTCAGTCCTGCCTTCCACCTATGCTCTGTGTAGGATGAGAACAGTCTGCTCTGTACTGTGATACCTGCCTCATTTCCTAGTTGGTTACATTTCTCTGTTTCCTTAGTGCTGATGAGTTTAAGGGTACAAGAAAGACTTTCTGGCAGCTTTATTCTAAGCAGGAATGGAATGCCAACTTTCTTTTAAGTCCTCAACTTAATCTCTACTTTAGAGATTCTTTCATGGCTTTGAAAACTGCCTTTGTATGAATGTGAGCTCTCCCAAGTGCTTGAAGTTTGGTCTGGGATCTCTGCCCTCTAGCAGAGTTCGGCAAGTGTGGTCTGTGGGCCACGAGCGTCAGCATCTCCTTGGTTCACATTCAGAACGAGAACCCCCAGACGACCCCTGAGAGCAGACCTACAGAGCTGCAATCTTGGGCTTGAAGCCCAGAAATCAGTACTTTAAAACTCGTCCCTAGTTATTATAAAATAGGCTTTGAGAACCACTCCCCTACAGTCAAAATATGTCATTTGTGTTCATGTATAGGTCCATGTGTGGTCTGTGCTCTTCTCCACAGTGCAGATCTTGAGCCACCAGTATTATCAATGCCATTCACAACATCCTGCCTGTAGGCTTGCCACTTCAGTGCCATTAATGAGTATTTCCAATTGTGTGACTTTATTTTCACTACTCTGATCTTGTAGCTGGTGGATCTGGCTCTACTTGTGAGGCAGGACATGGTAACCAAGGCTGGGGATCCCTTCAGCCATGCCATTTCTGCAACCTTCATTCAGTACTACAACTCTTCTGAGGTAAGTATTGGAAAATCAGCTTCAGCACACTGGCAGATTTTGTGACATATCTAGTGTTTACATTAATAGTTCCTTGAAAAAAACGTAAGAATATACAATCTACAGTTAAAGAATCTTTATACATTGTCCATTCAAATAAGTATTTATTGAGTATTTACTGTGTGTTAGGCCATGATAGTTCACTTAATATACTGATTTTTTTAACCTTTTCTTCCCTTCATTTGGCTTTCCTAGCCTTTTAATGAAAGGTAAGTGGTTTCAGAACATTCCTTGTTTCCATGGAAAATGAACAACTGGTTTAGGTAACTAAATAATATTGGAAAAAGTTATTTATTTCTTTGTTTCTCAAAGATGAAAGAGTTTGAGTTTATAGCTAGTGGTGGAGCACTTGCCTAGGATATAAAGGCCCTACATTTTATCCCCAGTACTAAGAGACAGAGTCTGAGTGAGAGAGAGGGAAACTGACTATTGTTCATATAATGATTCCTGTCCTTTATTAATAGCTTCCCATTTCATTTACTGATTCATCCATAAACTGATTTAGAAAGGCCTGGCTCCATTTGTCTTCAGGTTTTAGATTGGCCCTTGCACATAAAAGTCCTATCGTTTTCTGATCTGACTTAGGTTTTAGAGATGTTACCTGTGGTGAGCTATTTTTGTTTGTTTGTTTTGTTTTTTGCCAGTCATGGGGCTTGAACTTGGGGCCTGGGCATAGTCCCTAAGCTTCATTTGCTCAAGGCTAGCACTCTATCACTTGAGCCACAGCACCACTTCCAGCCTTTTCCATGTATGTGGTACTGAGGAACTGAACACAGGGCTTAATGCATGTTAGGCAAGCACTCTACCACTAAGACACATTCCCAGCCCATGGAGATTTTTTTTTTTTTTTTT